TTGACTATCCTCATTTTGATCATGGGTCAATTGCCCAGCCCTTATGAATGTTTTGATCATGGCCAGCTCCAGAATGAATGGAAAGTAATTGTAGGATCTCAAGTTCAAAGTAAACTGAAATTTTCATACCTCTATTAGGTTATATTTGTTCTTTATTTACTAAATCTGAAACCCTTGTATTATAGAGAACATGTAAAAAAATGCCAAGTCATGTGTGTGTGTGTGTGATTTAATGCTATAAAACCTGTATGACAGTAGATACCTAAACAAGGAATTTACAAGAAGAAAAAATGGTATGCCTATCATTCAGTTCCTGTCTAAAATGTAACTATAATTGCATAGTTGAAGATTCTAATCTTGATAACCAATAAATCCCTGTACTAAATAAGTCTGTTTGAATGATTAGATTATCTATTGCTTTTGTTCCCTGTAGAAGATCGGTGTAGGGTAGGACCCTATATACATGCTTATAAGTTGAGTCCAACTGCAAACAAGGTAAACCCTGATCATCTGTTGCATTAGCCAAATCAGGGTTTTTATTGCTGGATCTGCTGCTGGTTACTGCTGCATAGACCCAGATCTGCAAGCATGTTGTTCAATGGCAAATCTGGTCTGTGCATTTTACAGTTGCTCTGAACTTCTCATTGAGTATGTTGGGTACTTGATGATGTGTTTTAGAAGGAGATGGATTATTGTTAAGAACACTTGATGTATATAAGTGAACTTGATGTACTCAATACCTGTACCTGTAACCAAAAGGTCATAACCCTACAGTTGTATTAGACATAATGAAAGTAACTGTTCAGTTGACTCTTACAGTATCAGTCACCAGAATCTCACTAAATTATTTTATTCTATTTTGATGAAGGCAGAATGGGGACCTTTAAATAAAAGTACACAAGTGTGTAACAAGCATGGAGACAGTATGATTGGTTGTCCATTGTAAAACAACATAACATTTTTAGCAGATTTGTAAGTCTTACAATGAGATAGGTCACTTTTCTTTTGTTATCTCTAAAATTATCTGAATAATCAGAAAAAAAAAACACATGCAAGAGATTACTGGTGGATAAAAGGTGGGTGTTGGATTACAAGCACTCTGACTGGTCTGACAAATTTTCTTGTGTGAAATTTTTTTTAGACCATTCTTCCATCAGTCTTAACATTCTGATACAGAACTACATTACAACCAACACAAAAAAGATCGCTGTGTTATCACTCATAAACTGTATCCTCATGACCTTTCCAACCACTCCAGTGGCCTAGTGCTTGGAGCATCCTCCTCAGATGAGTAGGTTCAAACCCTGGCCATGTCATACCAAAGACTTATAAATAATGGTACTAACAACTGCCTCACTTGGCACTCAGCATCAAAAGATTGTTGTTAGAACTGGTCAGCTTGGTGTCAGTATATTCTGACTGGATGGGATATCATGCTACATATCTGTGGCATGATATCCCATTGCTAAGACATCACTGCTAGACTGCAGACATCATAGCAATATGACTGAAAAATTGTTAAAGCTACTTTAAAAATCCAAATCACACACACAGTCTTGATTTTCCCCACCCCACCTCACCCTGAGTGTGCCTTATTTGTAATTTGTCAATCAGCCAAAGACCATTTAGTCAAGCTTTGCATGTATCAAGCAGTAAGAAGGACACATTGACTAGTTCAAACTGTTCCTTATTAAGTCATATGTCATTGATTTGTGTATAGTTGATTATGTAGCTTGTAAGACCTAATTAATTGGAGAAAAAAAGCAGTATTACCATTTAAGTCATCAGAAATTCAAACAGATACAAGTGCTTTATGATAGTGTTACAAGTACTTTATGATAGTGTTACAAGTACTTTCTGATAGTGTTACAAGTGTTTTATGATTGTGTTATAAATATTTTATGATGGTGTTACACATACTTTATGATAGTGTTACAAGTATTTTATGATTATGTTACAAGTACTTTATGATAGTGTTACAAGTACTTTATGATGGTGTTGCAAGGACTTTATGATGGTGTTGCAAGGACTTTATGAGGGTGTTATAAGTACTTTATGATGGTGATACAAGTACTTTATGATGGTGTTACAAGTACTTTATGATGGTGTTACAAAGACTTTATGATGGTGTTACATTACATTGCCCACAACAATAGTAAAAACTTGGAAATAAACTGGATAAACAAACCTTCATATCTCATGAAAAGTTAAATAATTGCATCAAAGAAACATGCAAATAAGATAAAACTAATACATTTGTTTAAGTAAAGTATATTTGTTTCAAGCAGTGTATTACATATGAGAGTTCAAAGTTCAAATTATTTTTTGTGCTGGCTGAAGAAAACAAACATACTTTGCAAATTTGTACATTATATGACTTCACCTCATCAAGATCTGTTTGATAATCATATAGATAATAGCAGCTTGAAACCAATAAACAAGTCTATTTTGTCTTAGATAACCATTCATTTCTTTCAGAGAAAAGAACCATGCTCTTGAGAATCTCAATTAGTTGACAACCTTGCTAAAGATATCTTTTAATTAGGTACAGTAGTAAAGCAGTTAGTTTACTTTTTTTAATGACCTTAACCTGCATTTTCTAGCTCAAGGTATTGTCAACCATGATGCCAGGCATTTTTTTTTACAGGCTGTACATGTACTTGGAAGTATTTCTTTGGCTTGTATATCTCTGATTATGCCATTTTGACTTAACTGCATTGATGTTCATACCTGTGTGCTGACAGCATTTATTTGCATTAACAAAGCCCTGATTTGATTTAGTACTAATCTCTTGGACAGTTGATCCATGTTATGTATCTTATATAATATTGTGTCATCTACAAACATGTTGATGGTTGGGTGTGATTTTGGTAAAACATTGATGTACAACAGAAAGATCAATGGTCTGACAAACTGATCTTTGTGGAAAACCTGAATTTATTAGTTTCTCATCTCAAAAAAAATATGTGTTTTAAAGAGAAAGTTGTTTTCTGCATTTAAAATACCATTGGATATATGTACATTGGATGTATGTAATGATGAAAAGAAAAAGGACAAACTAAGTGTATCTCAGTTTTGAAGAAGCATGGGGATAAGAAAGTAGGAAGGTGATTAAAATCAATGGAAATAAAGATAATCATATATACCATCACCTCCATCAGCAAAACTTATCTATTCCAACCTTGTTAACATCCCATCTGATTGGCTCTTACAGTTCTTATATCTGGAATCAGATGGAATACATACAATCAGATGCTTAGAATTCAGACAATCTCAGTCATGAAGACGCAATATTATTTTAAACTCTTGTCTCTTTTCAGAAAGCCACATGGATTTTAAACATTGAAAAGACTTTAGTCACAGAGTGTGAACATGAATTGCATTGTGATATGCTCTTTAGTAAAGTGAGTCAATTCAGGTATGTATGAAAATTTAGATTGTAACTAGTGTATTACCTTGCTTATTTAGGCTATTTACACTTACTGTACTGTAGATACAATTCTGTTCTACCTGACATTTGCACAGGTAAAGCAGGAGATAGGTTTGTAGATGTTTTAAGGGAATGTTTTTCTTTTATCTGTGGATATTCTTATACAGTTATACAGGAGTTTGTCATGCAATTCATTGTTATATATTGTGGTATAGTAGAGGGCAAAAACCGTCAAGGTAAGTTAGTAAATTTTCTTATTGGATGAGCATGTAATGTAGTAGGAATGGTATGAAATAGACTTTTGCAGTTGAGTATCGAAATGTACACCATATTTATATTCTACATTGATATAATGTTGTACAAGAAACATTTTAGAATTTTATGAAGACACATTAAAAGGTGTCATTTTGCTACAAGAAGAAATATATCATCGGATTGATGGCAATTTTATGCCGCTTGACCTGGAAGTTAGAAAATATTTTATGTTCAGAACATGAGAGTTGTGGCAGACATCAGTCTGCTTCCTGCTTTGCTGTAATAAAATAAGATTTGTACAAATTTGTCATGTATCTCTCAGTAAAATTATGATAAAGTGAAAACCAGGTTGATCATGTATTAATTGCTGTGTTCTTATTCATAAAACCTGTTTATATTTGTATATCCAGTGATACCTCAATGCAAAACATCACAGTATGACACTTAGGTAATTCCTGTCAGTATAACACAGTCCTACTTTGGGGGATTTGGGATTCGTTGATTGGCAGATTGTACCATCTTACAAGGTGTTTGCTTTATTGGGTTATCATTATCTAGAGGTTGATTGCCAAAAGTGTTATTGCCCAAATCAAGTAAATATTAATATAAAGTATGAAACTTACAGGTGGAATAAATCAGATCTGAGTTGATATATATAAACAAGAATGACATGAGCTCCTGTACATGAAAGACAAGAATTTAATCAGTTATATAAACAACTGTGATAACACATCACATTAGGAAGATACACTTCTTTTTTAAATAAGTTATTTACTAAATTTCAACACAAATATACTTATATAAATAGCTGATCTGTTTTAAATGATAGAACTGGTTCATCATAGAATCAAGTGAAAATCAAAGACATTGCCTTGTACAACTTCATAATGTGCTTATTTCCGATTCATTCCAATTACACTGTGGCTGTTTTTCTTGGTCCTTTTTGCTTTTTTATCCTTCTCCAAACTCTCTATTGTCTCACCTCTTTCAGCCCTCAAACTTTGTGTGGTAGGTGGATAACTAAGTATGCAACTACTTGGTTAAGTAGGTAAATGGAAAAAAAAACAGAGAAGCAACCTATTAATCTCCTGTCAAATATCCTACTGAGAATAGATCATTACTTTCCCCTCTTGTTATGTCAGATATCATTTTATCAGAATTCATACATACTGAAGGCTATTTGGTCAAGCTGAACTTGGCAGACCACAAAAATCCTAGTTTCATAAGATTAATGTACTTCCTAATGGCTATTTCAACACTGACTCACATTAACATCACATGAGACATAACAGTTCCTTCCTTATCAACCACTCCAGTGGCCTGGTGGTTAGAGTGTCCGCCTCGGATGCGGAAGGTCGAGGGTTCGATCCCCAGTCAAATCATACCACAGACTTACAATAATGGTACTAACAGCTACCTCGCTTGACACTCAGCATTAAGAGGTTAGTGTTAGGACTGGTCGGTTTGCTATCAGGATAATGTGACTGGGTGGGACATCATGCTGCATGTCTGTGGCACACTGCAGACATTGTAGCGATATGACTGAAAAATTGTTAAGGCTACATTAAAAAATCATAAATCACATGATCACATCCTTCCATGTCTCAATTACACAAATGAATGAAATTCATTACATGGCTTAACTACATTATTTCCAGCAAATGCATGTACATACATTCAAGTCTTAAACATACATGAAATCCCACTTCATGGCTTAACAATGTTAATTTCAGTCAATACACACTCAAGACTTTATGGTATATGAAATCATCTAAGGTCAGTGAATTCACATGGATTCTCATAACTCATATCAAGAAAATTATCTACAAATTTAAACAAATAAATTCTTGCAAATACATGTATAAGCAAATAACTCCAAGCAAATCATTGTATTGGTATCAACAGATTACATAAGATTGACATAAATGCCTTGTGCTTTCAAGCTTGCTTCTACTGCCAGAATTGTGTCTGTTGACTTGCCAGACAGCTAGTCCTTTGGACAATTGATTTATGAGAGAATTTCTTCTAAATTCAAACTCAGAGTCTCCAATATTTGTTTTCTCTTGCAGAAAAAGGTAGACTAAATTTTTGCAATGGGGCATATTGAAACAAAGTAATTTCATGTGGGAACCATGCTCCTTATTTAGTCTAACCAATCCATATTAAATATAATATCTACGGCATTTTGTAACTAGGTGCCAAAATTGTGGTCTGCCTGACCTCCAGATTACCAAATAACTGATTCTGGACATCTCAACTCTGACATTTCTGATAAAATGATTGAAGTTAATCTTTTCCTTCCAGTCTGTCTAGCTATTAAATAAATGAAGGCCTAATTAAGACTCACTCCCTCTCATTACACAGACATTAAAAGTCCTTGCAGTATAGCAATTTAACATGCACCTATCCCAAAAATCTAATTAATTATTCACCTGCCTAAATTAATGAACTCCTATAGATAGACAGTAATTTGCACCCTTAAACCTACATAAAACACAGGATCCATTGGATCCCATTTGTAGGATGACTACACTCATACCTACCTCAATGGCTAAAAGATTCCTCTCATGACTTTATTTATGAAAGGTAAGCTTAGGAAAGGCAAGTCAAGATGAGCGTGTTATACCTCTATGGGCCTAAACTAAGTAACAGAAGAGAGCGAAAACCAACAAGGTCTGAACAATTTAACAAATAATTTATTTCCCAAAAATAGAAAATAAAAATTTAAGAAAGTGATTAACAGTATTGTAAATTAAATCCAAATAGTCTTAAAAGTTCTATCACATGTCTAGATGTAGGAAGTTCCAGTTCAGTTCCAGTAGTATTCCAAATAAATTCTGATATTAAATGTTGATGTATATTGGTCTTGATCATGCTAATGTGCTAGTAGCATGGAGTTTGAAGGTGTGCTAACAATTTTTTGATGTATCACAATACAGTAATATAAACCAAAATATTCATGTCTGAACCTAATATAATTTTTAAAAAATGTTTCAGTATGAGAACATTATTTCCAGTGTATAAGAATTTGAATAAATAAATCCACCAAATTACCAACTAAACACAACAATAAGACTGATTCTGCTTCGGATTTTAAGGCAAGATTGAGTAATTTTTCAAATAAGCAACATTATATAAAAATCTAGGACACAGTACTGTAGGACAGTCTAATATATAAAAGAATTTCAAAGTTGTCAATGGGTTTAGGAATTTCTGAGTGAAAAACTTAACTTTACTCAGATTAAAATAAACTTGTTTACCATTAATAATGATCTGAATATTCAGTCCACCTTCAGAGAGAAATATTAGCTATATATTATGTTGATTACAAAAGAAATATGACCTTGATTTTGGATAAAGTTAAGGACAAAATAGAAATGTACTTAACATAAGAAAAGCCAACAAATAACACAAATAAAATATACATAACAATGGCATTTTAAGTAGATTGAATATAATGCATACTGTAGGAAGAGTAAAATTGATGTAAGAAAAGTTAAGGTTCCAACTCACTTGCTAAGCAAAACAAGTAGCCAATTTAACTTTTTTTTAAAGCCCTGTCCCTGAAAGAGAGGCAACCTCACTTAATATGGCTTCCTTGACAGTTCCAGGGCTCATTTTCATAGTTTCCCTGAACAGCATCAGGGTGGAAAATTCTACTTGTCTGCTGGTATTTATGAATGATGTCTAAGGAACATCATCATTTTTTCAAGAGTATTTGGAGCAGATTTAGTATTTTGTGCAATTTAAGGTACAAGTTACTTGCCATGTAGGATGAGTTAAATATACAAGTTTCTTGCCATGTAGGATGAGTTAAAGGTTCAAGTTACTTGCCATGTAGGATGAGTTAAAGGTTCAAGTTATTTGCCTTGTAGGATGAGTTAAAGGTACAAGTTACTTGCCATGTAGGATGAGTTAAAGGTACAAGTTACTTGCCATGTAGGATGAGTTAAAGGTACAAGTTACTTGCCATGTAGGATGAGTTAAAGGTACAAGTTACTTGCCATGTATAATGAGTTAAAGGTACAAGTTACTTGCCATGTAGGATGAGTTAAAGGTACAAGTTACTTGCCATGTAGGATGAGGTAAAGGTTCAAGTTACTTGCCATGTAGGATGAGTTAAAGGTACAAGTTACTTGCCATGTAGGATGAGGTAATGGTTCCAGTTACTTGCCATGTAGGATGAGGTAAATATACAAGTTACTTGCCATGTAGGATGAGTTAAAGGTACAAGTTACATGCCATGTAGGATGAGTTAAATATACAAGTTACTTGCCATGTAGAATGAGTTAAAGGTACAAGTTACTTGCCATATAGGATGAGTTAAAGGTACAAGTCACTTGCCATGTAGGAAGAGTTAAAGGTACAAGTTACTTGCCATGTAGGATGAGGTAAATGTTCAAGTTACTTGCCATATAGGAAGAGTTAAAGGTACAAGTTACTTGCCATGTAGGATGAGGTAAAGGTACAAGTTACTTGCCATGTAGGATGAGGTAAAGGTACAAGTTACTTGCCATGTAGGATGAGGTAAAGGTTCAAGTTACTTGCCATGTAGGATGAGGTAAAGGTACAAGTTACTTGCCATGTAGGATGAGGTAAAGGTACAAGTTACTTGCCATGTAGGATGAGGTAAAGGTTCAAGTTACTTGCCATGTAGGATGAGGTAAAGGTACAAGTTACTTGCCATGTAGGATGAGGTAAAGGTACAAGTTACTTGCCATGTAGGATGAGGTAAAGGTTCAAGTTACTTGCCATGTAGGATGAGGTAAAGGTACAAGTTACTTGCCATATAGGATGAGTTAAAGGTAAAATTACTCACCAAGCATTATAAATATATTCAATATTAATGGTATGTGTAATGTAGGATGAGCACAAAAAAATGCAAGTTACATGCCAAGGAAGATAAGTAACTTAAAAATTTAAAATATGAGGAGTCAGTTTATATTTTCTACCACTGTGTTATTGTCAGGGGTCAGTTTATATTTTCTACCCCTGAGTGCTATAGTCAGTGGTCAGTTTATATTTTCTACCCCTGACTGCAGTAGTTAGGGATCAGTTTATAGTTTTACAACATAATGCTTACCAGTGATTTTTTTGTTACTCAGATTTTTTTTATTAAGCAAATAACTTAAGCAAATTTTTTAACTGTGTATGTGTTGCTATGTTGACAGCAGATAAAAGCATAGACTTTGGTTGCCCTTTTTTTGCTGTTATCCTCCAATGAAAGTTCATACTTTCAAAATAACTGTTTGGTTACAATTTAAAATTCTCACAAAAAAAGTTGCAAAAATGGTATTAAAAAATTGTGGCTTTTTGCCCAGTGTCCTTTGCTTTGTCTGGAATCAAGGTCTTTGTTGAATGTTTGGAACTATTTTGTTTGATACCTTTTGTACAATCAGTTTTGTACTCTCAGAAAAACTTGAAGCTGTTTTTCCAAAAGCTACAAGTAGTAGGTTCAAATGCACATTTTTTTGTTGTTGTTTTCAAACATCATCATATTACTTTATTGGATCATCACACATATAATATTTTGCCTTTGACTAGCTTTTATTTTAGTTTATTCTAATTATTATTTCCTCTTTGAAAAAATTTTAAGTATTTATTCAGTTTCTATTCACATTAATGCAAAAGAGGTCTTACTGTATTACATTAAAAGCATTCAGGGTTAAAATTTTGCCTGGTTTTGATGGGTTTTTTAATTTCTAAAATAGACACCAGACATAATATCTAATAAAGGCCACATGGTTATAGTTTAGTCTCCTTTGTCCATTCATCATACATCTGCTCACATCATTATCACTCATGTGGCAAAATCTCAGATATGATTTTGATCAAACTTGGAATATAAGCTTATATCATCGAAATTTCATTCAAGTTTGATGATGAACCTTAGGCTGTTGGATGAGTTTGATTATAAGCTAGGTCTACACCACTTTATGAGGTAATCTTGCATCTGGTTGTCTGAGTTTGTTACCGATATGTTGAATTAAACTGTGTTAAATGTTTCTTTAACTTGTAAAAAAAGCTTATATGATTTTGGTGTTAGATGCGTTCTGCAACAAATGAGGTCTACTGGCATGATTGAGGTTATCTTGAATCTCATTGGCTGGGCCTGTTACTTGTCTGAAAACTATACTTCAATACAATTTAATAAACAGGTTGACATTATCAGGATCTTACATGGATTTGATTATGATCAAAAGCTATGTACATTAATTATGCTTTTATGTTTGGAATTTTTTTTCTTCAGATTGGTCAAGTTGGTAAATGTACATGATATAAAAGTTATATTGGTTTAATTTCTTACAGTATGAGACAAGCTTGCTTTAGTGAAATGGTCAACTGTTACATTATGTAAGTAGTGGTGAATAATATCAGACCC